AGGTACTCGGTGCCGACCTCCTCGCGCACGAACCGGTAGAGCGGGTACGAGCGGCACTCCTTGATCCGGTTGGGGACGAGCGGGGTGCCGTTCTCGACGGCGGCGCGGGCGGCCTCCACCTCCTTGGGCAGCGCGGCGCGGACGTGCTGCTCGAACTCGGCCACCTTGGCGAAGATGGAGGTCTCCAGGACGCGCTCGGCGTCGCCGTTGGCGAGCGCGTGCTCGATGAGCACCGCGCGGAGCTTCTGCATCAACGGGTAGTTGGCGCTGCAGGGGTCGTCGGCGTAGGCGAACACGGCCTCGCGGTCGATCGCGGTGAGCAGGTCCTTCTCGCAGAAGCGAGCGATGTGGAGGCCGCCCATGTGGTTCATGCTCAGGGATTTCTTGGCCACCTGCATCACGCAGTTCTTCACCGCGGTCTTCATGTTCTCCTCGAGGTGGCGCAGGTCGATGGCTTGGCACAGGGCGATCAAGAACGTGGAGGACATGAGCTTCAGGATGTCGATGGCCTCGGCGGTCTTCCTGGAGGAGATGAGACCAAGCGAGTTCACGTCCTGGTTGTGCTGCTCCGCGCTCTGGACATGGTTGGTCACCGGGTTGCCCAAGAACTGGAGCTCGGAGCAGTACGACGCCATGGCGATCTCCGCGCCCTTGAACCCATAGTCCAAGCTGGGGTTGCGTCCACCGGACAGGTTGGAAGGAAGCCCGTTGTTGTAGAAGTCGTTCACGAGCTCAGAGAACTGCGCGAACATGAGCTTGCCGATGGCAGCGAGGGCGAGGCGGGTGTTGTCCATGGACACGCCGATGGGCGTGCCCTGGAAGTTGCCACCGTGAAGCGCCTTGCCACGGGAGACATCGATCAGCGGGTTGTCGTTGACGGAGTTGATCTCGCGCTCGATCGACTTGGTGGCGAAGCGGATGACCTCGATCTGTGGGCCGAGCCACTGCGGCGACGTGCGGAGCGCGTACCTGTCCTGCTTCGGCTTCATCAACGGGTCGAGCTCGCCGAGCTTCTTCGCCAGCTTCATGTACGAGCTGCCTTCCAAGATGTGCTCCATGATGGCGGCAGCCTCGATCTGTCCAGGGTGGTGCTTCAGCTTGTGTGTCAGGTGGTCGGTGTACTCCGGCTTGCCGGTCATGACCTCACAGAACACGGCGGACAGGACCTCGGCGAGGATGGCAAGGACGTTGGCCTCAAAGAGCACGGTCGATGCAAGGCCAGAGCCGACGGCAGTGCCGTTCACCATGGCAAGACCTTCCTTAGGCTGCAACTCGAAGAAGCCGTGCTCAATGCCGGCAATCTTGAATGCCTCGGCGGCGGTCACCTTGCGGCCATCCGGGGCGACGGCCACGGAGTTCTGGCGGCCGGTGATGAGGCCGGCAATGTAGGACAGTGGGACCAAGTCACCGGAGGCGGTGATGGTGCCCCGGAGCGGCAGGCACGGCGTGACGTTGGCATTGAGCAGCTTGGTGATGGCCTCGAGGATCTCGAAGCGGATGCCGGAGTAACCCTGGAGGAGGGTGTTGATGCGGACGAGCATCGCCGCGCGCGTCGCCTCCGCCGGCAGAACGTGGCCGTCGGTGCCGGTGCCGAAGGCGCCGGCATTGAGGAATCTGTTAAAACAGAGCGATAGACATGTCAATTTCAGTTCAGAGCTCACTAAAAAAAAACATATAACACGTTCAGAAAAACTTGGTCAGATATATGATTGCGTATTCTCTTTCCGTATTTTCCTTCGGTGTACATACACACTGCCGCCGTGCCGACTGATGATTAATTTAGAGTTTCATAATTGCTTAATTAATTATGCTCCCCATGATAAGGAGAGCAAACAAGTCAGATGCGCGTAGTTGTGCAGCTGTGCAGAACTGTCGGTCACCGCCATGTGGTAAAAGTCAAATAAGTACCAATATTGTTCTACATCACGTTTAAATAACGAAAAACAAAGTGTTTTGGACCTTATCTCGGATACGAATACTACAACTACTCGTCCACAACTCCACATGTTCAGGGTATTTTGACTATTTCCCCTTCAATTTTATTTGCATACTGTCCGTTTAATAATTGGACGCTCCCAAACCAGTCGATGATAAAACAGGAAAGGAAAACCAGAGCCGTGAATTTGTCTGTCTCCCTGCGAGGACAGGGGATGTGTCACCAAACCTCAGCTCGCTTTCGCCGTAACGTGGCCGTGGGAAAATCCCCCGAAGGCAGGCCAGCCCACTGCCCACGTCGTCTCCATGTGAAGTTTTCTGCGCTGCCGAACGCTTTGTCCGGCGCCCCGCGTGCATGGCGTGAGTCGCGACGCGACGGCGCCATCGCGCCAACCCGTCGGCCGAACCGAGCAAACGCACGCAGTTGGTGTTATTACTACTCGCGTTGATATGATAGCCCAGCAGCTGCCTACCCTTGGCCCCGGATGGCCGGATACCCTCCTCGAGATCCCGAATTCTCGCTCGGCGACAGAATTATCTCATGGATAAACATATTATCAAATGTCCCGAAAAAGAAAAGAGAGAAAAAGGTTGCTTCCTTTCTCCTTCTCCTCTCCTCAGACGAAAGACGCAAAAAGGAGTTCTAGCGACGCGCCAACGGACACATAATCGTCGTCTTGTGTTTTCACTTTCTTTTTAGTTAACACGAGTCGTGTTCGTGTGGTGCAAATTAAAGGTGTAACAGTGCAGGACGGTTACTACTAGTAGCCGGTTCAGATGTGGCATGAACTGAGCAAGAGGTACAGTACATCTGCGTGTTTGGATGGTGGCGAGAAGTAATAAATATGGTGATGATTTTACCCAAATACTACAGCTGGATGGATCATAATAGTGTAATAATGGCGAAGGATATACTCCAGTACTAGTATTGGCTGGCTGACACCCCGAAAGAATCCTTTTTGGCTCCGAGAATGACGGTATCTCGTGGGCACACACACAACTATGCAGCGAGAGCACATGCAAGCGCATCTAGTTCGCCCCACAAGTTCTGAGAGATTAAATAAACTAATATGGTGATCCTCAATCTCGTCGTAATCATAGAATCGAACTGCTGATGTAAAGACTGATGAACAATGGAAGTGAAACAAAATAAAGGATCGAGCTTGCGATCGATTTGTCACCTGATGAGCTCCCTCTGGAGCGCGCCGCCCTCCTTGGTGCGGCGGTGGGAGGTGGCGCCGAAGCCGGTGGTGACGCCGTAGCTGTCGGTGCCGTTCATCATGCTGTTCATGACCCAGTCGCTGCTGGCCTTGACGCGGCCGCGGGCGGACTCGTCGAGCTCCACCCTGGCGTCGCCGGCGCCGGCGGCCACGGCGGCCACCTGCGCGATCGTCAGGCTGGCGCCCTCGATCTTCACCAGCGGCTGGCGGAAGTCCTCCACCATCCGCTTCACCTCGTCGAGGTGGCTCCCCGCCAGCTCGTCCGCCGCCTTCCCCCAGTTCAGTGGGTCGGCCCGCGGCGGCGCCGACACCGACGACATGCACAGCCCGTCGCCGTTCAGGGAACGAACAAGCCCGGTTTCGCACTCCATTACAGATGTGTACAGTCACACAGACTCACAGATGCAGTAGTAGCACACGAATAGAAGTACAAGAACACTAGAACAGTACTACTAGATATGCGTGTTTTTTTTCTTTTAAGTAGAAGAAGAGCTCGAGTTGGAAGCTGATGCTCTTCTTGGAGAAGAACGGTGGGGGAACGGGCGCTTAAATAGCGTGGCGACGGGTGATGGTGGTTGGGGCTAAGGGCGTCCAGGGCAGTGTGGGGTTTGGTTGTTGGCTAGCTGACCATACGCTCGCCGTCGGATGGGGCCTGCCTACCAATCTTACCATGCGGCGATGCGCGACGCGTGGCCCACCTGGCCAGCTCGCGTGGCTGCTCTGCCTGCAGGATTGTGATTGGGGCGAGGCGCCGAGCCGGGGGAACCGGTTGGTTCGGCGGCGGCGCTTGCGTTGCGTGTTGCCTCGGTGGTGCGTAGCTGTGTGGGGTGGGTGGCTGGAGACTTGCGCGGCCGGGGGATTTGGCGGGGGTTGGTGGGACGGAGAGAGCGAGCGAGAGCGCGTGTGTGGACGGGAGGCCTCTGCTGAGCCAACGCTGACGGTCTCTCGCGGTCAGTCGGTCCGTCGGTCCGTCGGTCGCTCGATCCGGTATCGTCCTGTTTTTACACATGCACCCACTCCGAGATCCGAGACGCTGCAGGAGTGCAGGACTGACCCAAGTGGTCATCAGGACAACACGATGAAATGACGTGATCGGTTCATTATTCGGAGCGCGAATTGCTGCAGAGCGAAGGGTGTGTATACGAGCTATTTATTAAGCCTAATTAATTTATCATTAGTAAATGTTTACTGTAACATCATATTGTTAAATTATGGCGTAATTAGACTCAATAGATTCGTCTCGCAATTTACATATAAACTGTATAATTGGTTTTTTTCCACATTTAATGTCTCATGCATATATTCAAATATTTGATGTGACTTTTTGGCTAATTTTTTTTTATCTAAACAAGACCGTTCAGAAACTACAGTCACCTTTTGGCTGTGCGAGATGTGGAGGAATTGCCTCAACAGGGCCATTTTGGCCAACAGCACTACAGCAGCAGCAGAAAATGGGCTTAAAGCTTGTAGTACGTCCACACGGAGGCATTTTGGCCAACAGCTTATGCAGCTATAAAATTTAAATTTAAAATTTTAATTGTAGAGTTGATTTAGGGCTTTTCTTCGTAGTTTTTTTAGCATTGATTTTTAATCGCTAAATATACATATAAAAAATTATCTATGAATTTTCTTTTATGATAAGTCATTTTCAGCGTTAAGCCAAGCGATGTGTTTGCAACTCTCTCTCTCTCTCTTTTGGTACAGACGCGTTGAGCTCAAGTTGCCGCATTTGATTCTGTACCAACAGAGAACTTCCAAGGAAAGCAAGTTGAAGCCTTCAGAGTTCAGACAAAATGAAGCAAATTGTTTAGTTTTTTTCCTCGTGTATTATGCAGTTAAGCAGGCGCTATGTTGCGCGTAAAGAACCTGGTATAAACAATGATTTACTCCCACATTGTCCCGAAGAGTAGCACGAGCACAGTTGAACCATGAAGATTCCACGTTTCTTACTTTAAGAACCAGGAAATATTAAAGAGCCGGTTCAATGGGAGGCAGGTACAGCAATGCATCGTCCATGTGATTATTTTTTGTCCATTTAAAAGGGCTGTCTTAATATTTTTATCCACACTTTTTGCGTGTGGTTGGTAACAACGAACTCATGGTGACCAACTCAGCTTGATGGCCAGGTCGATCTACTCCGTTGTGGTTGGCAACTAAGCTCGCACCAAACAGGGTGTTGGGTATCCGGGCCCTCCCGTAAGTTCATTCAGACAACGTCATTCGTATATCTCCTCCACCAACCTCCTACTACTTGCGTTCTTCATATAGGAGCTGCGAAAATGTTGCTGCTTCAACGTTCTTCAGATAAGCAACCTTTTTTTTTTTTAAGATAATGAGATAAGCAACCATGAGTGACTTCATTGACTTCAAGATGGATGGTTGGCTTGGTGTTTCAAAGGTCCGAGGTTTGTTGAAAATTTAGGGTGAGTTCGATAAAGGGAGTACGTACTAAATCCATTAAAAAACTTATTTTATTTGGAACTAATACCTTACATTGATCAATTTGGCATGGTCAAAATGATATAGTTTTCAATAACAAGAAATTGTCTAACCACATGCAGGTTATCTTCACGTCTTCCAGTTGACTCTATTATTAATCCTTGATGCTTTCATAGGAGAAGTGGGAGACTGTACGTAATGAAACTACACTCTTAGAATCGGTAGCCACGAGTCTTTTGTCCTACTTTGGTTGGTGTAATTTTTTTTAGAATATTGTTATAGGTTCTATGTGTTTTCTAACTGATATTTTGTTTTTAGAAAGAAGATGAGGTTTGTGTCCCATAACCTTAAGCTTTTTTATCTTTTTTTTTTTCTTGACTCATTAGCCGTGCGCATATTGGCAGAAACCGGAGATGTAAATCATTTTCATTATGTAAAAAAAATACTTAGTTGTACGTAAAATGAGATGAGTAATTAGTGTATACTACCTCCATACCAAAATAAGTTTATTTTTCACCCATCTAACACATACCAATAAAAAGTAAAAAAAAATTAGAATACCCATACTTTATCAAATCCCAATACAACTAATCCTCACTGTATCTAATCCCAATACAATTACTCCCTCCGGTTTCATTTTAATTGACGTTTTGGACAATGATACGGTCTACGAGATATATCTTTGACCTTATTTTTTTTATTATAATATATATAATAAATAAATGCATGTTTACTTTTATTATAGTGCTTTAAAAGAAAAATCTATATATGTTGTTCTAATTCCTTTAAACTAAATATTTATAAAGTTATTGATGGTCAAAGTTATAAAAGTTTGACCTCAACCTTGTTCAAAATGTCAATTAATATGGAACCGGAGGAAGTATTCCATACTTTCACAAACTCCAATGCAATGATTACTCTAAAAATAAACTTAGTTTGGGACAAATGGAAGGTGCTAAAAATGAACTTAATATGGGACGGAAGAAGTAACTAATTAGGTATTAAATACTACTAATTTGAAAATTGATTTTTTTTAAAAAAAATTCTCCATGGAAAGTTTTTATACCAAACACATCGGTTACCCGTTCGGAAAACATGTTCACATAAAACGAGATAGTAGCTCTGCTTAGAAGCCCTCTCGAACGCATCCTTAGACCAGGAGTATGCTTCTATAAGGCCATAGGAACGATCTACTATATTTGATCGAGGGGATTGTTTGTTTCTGGTTCCATCAGCAGATTACATAAATACACACACTCAATACACCAAAATAATAAAAACAAGAAAGAGTAAAATACACAACCAATTCTTAAACTTGAACCATAGTGTTATCCAGTACCGTGAGCTTGTAAAATGCACATCTAAGTCCATATACTCTTATTTTAATGTATCACCCAAGATCTAAAGTGCAAATTACCAGGACGCTAACATGGCCGTCCACGATAATGAGAATTTTGCATTTTAGAGGAATCAAGAAGTACCAGAGGTCAGAAAGAAATTATCCTAGTACCATTTTTTAGAAGTTGTGTTTTTAAATACACTACCGGAGCATTTGAAACAGGAAAAAATGTTTACTAGTCCAAACACAAAAAGAATCGTAAATTATACTTCAAAACTTACAAAACAATTACTTTAGCCGCTTGCCAGGTTATTCCCTACCAGGTTGTGGTATTGCAGGTGTACATTGAAGAATCCTTAACACAACAAATGTATAAAAAAAGTTTGATCAGCTACTTGTACTGGTATAATCCACACTACTCGAAACAAACCACCACCTCTGTACTCATCTCATCATCTCCTGTGAGGTTCTGATACAGGGGTTTAGCAGATGGGCAGGGGCGCGCCGTTCCACTCCTTGAGACACTCAAGCAGCGGATCAATGTGCTTGCCTTGGTTGATGGCGACGAGCACCTTGTTCAGCTCCTCGCCGGGCGACCGCGTCTTCTCGCCGGTGAGGTACGCGGTTCCGAGCTCCTCGCGCACAAACCGGTACAGTGGGTAGGAGCGGCACTCGGTGATTCTGTTGGGCGTTGCCGCCGTGCCGTTCTCCACAGCTGCCCGTGCGGCCAACACCGCCGCTGGCAGCGCCGCGCGGAGCTCCTCCTCGAACTGGGCGACCTTGGCGAACACCGAGGTCTCGGCGTTGAACTCGGCCGCGCCGTTGGCGAGGGCGCGCTCCACAAGCACGTTCCGGAGCTTCTTCATCAGCGGGTAGTTGGCGCTGCACGGGTCGTCGGCGTACGCGAACACGGCTTCGCGGTCGATCTCCTGGAGAAGATCCTTCTCGCAGAAGCGAGCGGCGTGGAGACCGCCGGTGGCGCTCGTGCTCAGAGTCTTCCTGGCCACTGTCATGACGCAGCTCTTGACGGCGCTCTTGACGTTCTCCTCGATTTGCCGCAGGTCGATGGCCTGGCACAGGGCGACCAAGAACGTGGAGGACATGAGCTTCAGGATTTCGACGGCCTCGGCTGTCTTCCTGGAGGAGATGAGGCCGAGGGAGTTGACGTCCTGGTTGTGCTGCTCCGCGCTCTGGACGTGGTTGGTCACTGGGTTGCCCAAGAACTGCAACTCGGAGCAGTACGAAGCCATGGCGATCTCGGCGCCCTTGAAGCCGTAATCCAAGCTCGGGTTGCGCCCGCCGGACAGGTTGGAGGGAAGGCCGTTGTTGTAGTAGTCGTTCACAAGCTCTGAGAACTGCGCGAACATGAGCTTGCCGATGGCAGCAATTGCGAGGCGAGTGTTGTCCATGGACACACCGATGGGAGTGCCCTGGAAGTTACCACCATGAAGCGCCTTGTCGCGGGAGACATCAATGAGTGGGTTGTCATTGACAGAGTTGATCTCGCGCTCAATGGACTTGGTGGCCGCACGAATAACTTCGATCTGAGGGCCAAGCCATTGCGGCGACGTGCGGAGCGCGTACCGGTCTTGCTTCGGCTTCATCAACGGGTCGAGCTCACCGAGCTTCTTCGCCAGCTTCATGTACGAGCTGCCTTCCAAGATGTGCTCCATGATGGCAGCAGCCTCGATCTGTCCAGGGTGGTGCTTCAGCTTGTGTGTCAGGTGGTCGGTGTACTCCGGCTTGCCGTTCATCACCTCGCAGAACACGGCGGACAGGACCTCGGCAAGGACAGCAAGAATGTTCGCCTCAAAGAGCACCGTGGAGGCAAGTCCAGAGCCGACGGCAGTGCCATTCACCATGGCGAGACCTTCCTTGGGCTGCAACTCGAAGAAGCCACCTTGGATGCCAGCAATCTTAAACGCCTCAGCGGCGTTCACCTTGCTGCCATCAGGAGCGACCGCGACAGAGTTCTCGCGGCCGGTGACCAAGCCGGCAATGTAGGAGAGCGGGACCAGGTCGCCGGACGCGGTAACCGTGCCCCTGAGTGGCAGGCATGGCGTGACGTTGGCATTGAGCAGCTTGGTAATCGCCTCGAGGATCTCGAAGCGGATGCCTGAGTAGCCCTGGAGGAGAGTGTTGATGCGGACGAGCATCGCCGCGCGCGTGGCCTCGGCGGACAGGACGTGGCCGTCCGTGCCCGTGCCGAAGGCGCCGGCATTGAGGAACCTGATGAGCTCTCTTTGCAGGGCACCACCTTCCTTGGTCCTCCTGTGGGACGTGGCGCCGAAGCCGGTGGTGACACCGTAGCTGTCCGTGCCGTTCATCATGCTGTTCATCACCCAGTCGCTGCTGGCCTTGACGCGCTCGCGGGCCGACTCGTCGAGCTCGACCCTGGCCTCGCCGGCCGCGGCCACCGCGGCGACCTGCGCGATCCTCAGGCTGGCGCCCTCGATCTTTACCAGCGGCTGGCGGTACTCGGCCACCATGCGCTTCACCTCGTCGAGGTGGCTCCCCGACATCTCCTCCGCCGCCTTCCCCCAGTTCAGCGGGTCGGCGCGGGGCGCCGCCATGCAGAGGCCGTTGATGCCATCGGCAGCAACCTGACCGTTCTCGCACGCCATTGCAGTTAGCTAGACGGCCGGAGAGAACTGATGATTGTGCTAAATGAGCAGGAGGATACTAGAGAGATTGATCAGAGGAGTATGCAGGCAGCGGTGTGTTCAGAGCTGTGGAGAAGAGCTAACTGGGATGTGTGGCTCTTCCTGGAGAGAAATGGAGGGAGTGGAAGGGTTTATATTAGGCTTGGAGATATGATACGAGTGGCTTGGTCAGATTGGTTCCTGGTCCAAGGCGACGAAACGGCTGGGTCTCCTCATCAGTCCGACGAAGCTGAGTGTGGTGTTAGTTGGGGGTAAGAACGAACAAACAACATGTGTGAATCGTTCGATGGAATGAGTATATTTTTGAGGAGGGTCAGGTGTGGACGTCGAAATTTCGTGGTCGTCTTTGGGGACGCGGGCTCGGTCGCAGACTCGCACGGGGTCCGTGGTTGCCTGGTTGGTGCGCGCCATGCGGTTGGTGAAAGCCTGAAAGGCAGAAGGCGCAATGCGCGCGCATGCTTTGCCTCGGCTCGGCTGACCGTGCTTGCACAGTTGCTCGCTTTTCACTTCGTTGTTCCCAGTTCCCACGTGAGGCCATTCACAGTACAAGCACCTCATTTGCGTTACCTCAGTATGCCACGTAGGATAGATACACAACGAATTCATACCTCTCACAGTGCAGGGTACAACAGGGGATCCCCAAACCAACCACCCCAACCTATTCTCTCTCCCACTTTCCCCTTTCTCTCCTTTTCCCTTTCCCTCTCCTACTTTCACTCCCACCGACCCGACAGAGCCGGAGCGCGCGGCGGTACTGGTCGCCGTTGCCCACCGTGTAACATCCCGGCCTAGGGCTTAATAGGATTAATAGAATACTCATATCAACAAGTTGCAACTTCTTTTCCGGAAGCCAATCTCCAAATAACTCCAGAGTTAAGCGTGCTTGGCCTGGAGCAATTTGGGATGGGTGACCGATCGGGAAATTCTTTCCGGGTGCACACGAGTGAGGACAAAGTGTGCAGAAAAGATATGTGTTGGTCTGTGAGGGCAGTCTATGACCTATGAAAGCTATCAGATGTAAGCGGGCCCGGCCTGGGGGAAGGCGGGACGTTACAAATTGGTATCAGAGCCGACTCTCGCGGTTTCACGGGCGCGTGTGTCGCAGTTGCGCAGGCATGGTGCGCATGGCTGGTGTAGACCGGGAGTGGTTACACAGCATGGCACATGTGCTGGCACTGGACACATGGACGTGGCCAAGAGAGGACGTTCCTGGCCTAGGGTTGATCGACGGGGGCGTCGATCTCTCTTAAGGGGGTGAGGGTGTAACATCCTGGCCTAGGGCTTAATAGGATTAATAGAATACTCATATCAACAAGTTGCAACTTCTTTTTCGGAAGCCAATCTCCAAAGAACTCCAGAGTTAAGCGTGCCTAGGGCTTAATAGGATTAATAGAATACTCATATCAACAAGTTGCAACTTCTTTTTCGGAAGCCAATCTCCAAAGAACTCCAGAGTTAAGCGTGCTTGGCCTGGAGCAATTTGGGATGGGTGACCGATCGGGAAATTCTTCCCGGGTGCACACGAGTGAGGACAAAGTATGCAGAAAAGATATGTGTTGGTCTATGAGGGCAGTCTATGACCTATGAAAGCTATCAGATGTAAGCGGACCCGGCCTGGGGGAAGGCGGGACGTTACACACCGTCCCCGCGAATCTCTCGGCGGCGACGAGAAGGCGGAGCGAGGAGGACGGCGGCGGCGCGAATCTGGAGCGGCGGCAGCGCGAGAGGACAACGGCGGCGGGCGGATTCTGGAGTGGAGCGGCTCGTGCTCGTCGTCGCCGTCCTCGGAGCGGTCATGGCGGGCGGCGGCGGCGGCACATCCTTGCCCCGCTCTCCTCACCGACGGTGCTCTCCTCACCGCCTGCCCCAACGCCGCGGTGGCGGCATCCTCGGGACCTAGCGGTGCGGATCTGGAGCGTCCTCGCCGTCCTCCTCAACGACGGCGGCGGCGGCGCGTCCTCGCCCGCCCTCACCGGCGACGGTGGCGCGGATTGGAGCTGGAGCCGGAGTCGTCGGAGTGGAAGGAGTTTCTGCTCGGGAATCAAGGTCGGCCTCCTGCACAGCGCGTTCTCGTCCTCGCATCTCTCATCGGTGGGCCCCGCGCTCGACTTTTTGAGCGAGGCTCTCGTTCCTTCGCTAGGAACCGAAGAAGCTAGTGAAGCTATGGGCCCCACCAACTTTTTTCACCACGTAGGACGAAGTAAGGCTCCAGCTAGACGAAGGAACGCCCACTGTGAAGGGCCTGATGCTGAGATGGAATGAGCCTGTGAAGGGCCTGATGCTGAGATGGAATGAGCCGCTGAAAGGGTAGTGCTTCACTCACTGCTTGTGTTATCTTTCAGCACATTAATTAAAGAGCACTGCGAACACAGTTTAATTCTAGTTGATTTGTACCGGTCTTTGTTTGGAATGAATTTTCCCACTATCTTCATCAGGCAGTTTTGTTTCTGTTATGGTATCCTACGTTTCTTCTGGCCGTTTTCAGTGTGGCTGGATTTTTTATATAAAAAATAAATTTAGATAACCTTATATTTTGGAGTTTTTTTTAGGGTCCAATAGTACCGAGCGGTACCAGGGCGGTACCAAATGCTAGTCATTGGATCTGTCACGATCCAATGGCTGGTGTTGCGTGGTACCGTGAGGTACCAAAAATGTCCCTCAGGCGGTACCGCATGGAGAAGATGATTGGTAGGGTAAAAGAGTAACTTTGTATGCCAGATGGTTCAGGACGGATGGATCGGGAAGTATTCCTCTGCCGCCACCGGCGTTTTCGTCTGCCGACGCGGCCGTGTTATTCCTCCGGCGCCGCGACTTCGTTTTGGGCCCTCTCGCCGAAGCAATATCGATTGCGGCGCGCATGGTTCTCCCCTCTCTTCTCCAGCGCTGCGAAGACGCCGCGCCGCCTGTCTGCAACGATGGACAACGCGAAGGACACGGGGTTAGGGTTTCGCGGTGAAGGCGGAGGAGTCGTCGCAGTCTGGCTCACGCGTAGATTGGAGGCGCACGCACGGCTGCGGAAGAATACCGAGCTCGCGATTTTTTCTCTCCCGATCCTACCCATGCGAAATTCAACGGTGATATGCGTACTGGCGGTACCAGTACCGTGCGGTACATGTTGCTGGACCACAAAGACGCTCTATATTTTGAGATCAAATTGGGTTCAAACCATTGATATTATGGTTTGCGCTACACAACAATATTTTGTATGCTCTAGAAGTTTCACAAAACCCGCCTTATTCAAATATTAACTTGGTTTTCCATCTTTGGCATAGTATTGTTTAAAATATCAAAACAATTAACTTATCATCTTCACCAAGCAATCAACATATCAACAATATATAAAATTTGTATGGAATAAAAATAAAGCAAACGTATCTGCACATTTTACCCTATATTATTTAGATTTTAAATTAATATGATGTTTTGATCAATATTAAGACCATAACCTAGCATTTTGTCATAGGCTATAAGGTTGGGTGATTTTTTAAATAACAAAAATGATAAAACTACAATTATTTTGAAGAAACTACAGTTAGTATTCCCTCCGTTTCACAATGTAAGACTTTCTAGCATTGCCTACATTCATATAGGTGCTAATGAATTTAAACATTATCTATTATATAATTAAAGGAATAGAAAAAGGAGCCTCCACGTTCGCTCTCATGGCCTATAAATTCTCACATTAATAAGGAAAAAAAGAAAAAACAGAGTCCATATAGAAATACAATTAGGAATAACTGAAATTCGGAATTAAAAATAAGCAATATTAGAATAGAGTAAAGAGTCCATATAGAAATACAATTAGGAAATAACTGAAATTCGGAATTAAAAATAAGGAATATTAGAAATAGAGTATAGAGTCCATATAGAAATATAATAAGGAAATAACTGAAATTCGGAATTAAAAAATAAAGAATAATAGAAGAGGATACTAGAGTCCATACAGAAATACAATTAGGAAATAACTGAAATTCGGAATTAAAAATAAGCAATATTAAAAGTAGAGTAAAGAGTCCATATAGAAATACAATTAGGAAATAACTGAAATTCAGAATTAAAAATAAGGAATATTAGAAATAGAGTACAGAGTCCATATAGAAATGCAATTAGGAAATAACTGAAATTCGGAATTAAAAATAAGGAATATAAGAAGTAGAGTATAGAGTTGTAACGCTCCGCTTTTCGTGAGACGTTAAAAACTAATTCGGCAAAATCCTAATTGCGAAAATTTCGTTCTTTGAGTGTTGAGTCTAAGCTGTGCCAAAGATCTCAATCTAAATCCCTCCCTTGTCTCGATACCCTGTTATCAAAGATCGTCTCCTCAAAATTTCCATCCCAATATAGTCCCGAAGCTCGATTTCTTCTATTCGGAATCCCCTCCTGGAACCCCATCCGTGAACTTTGTCGAATGCCCGAAACCTAACTCCGTCCAAGGATTCACCTTCGCGTCATAAGCTCTCTCCTTGGTTCCTTCAAACCGATTCTCAAATTCGATTTCAACCTCTCAGGTTTTGATTCATCTATCTTCTCCATGTATTGGTTCATCAATCTACCCTTGTCTTCTTTCTCGAACTTCTGACCCAAGTCTGAATATGCAAATCGAGATCACTTCCACCCTTGAACTCAAAATCCCAAGATTCAATCCCTTTCGCCCTGAGTTCTCCCCAAAATGATTTTCGTTCCGAAATAGTCTCGAAGTCCGAACCCTTCTATTTGGGCTTCTCTCCAAAATCCATACCCACATATCTCGTTGAGTAGTCAAACTCAAACTCCCAAGTTACACTCTCTTTCTCTAAATTATCCATCCCCTGTTGACTCGTCTCCGAATATTGTTCCCTTCCTCGACTCCTTCCTATTCTCCCGAGACCGAGTATCAACCTCGAAATTCGAATCCAGACTCTAACCCTAAAACCTCCCAATTAAATCTCTCTGTGAAAGTCTATTGAACCTCCCTCATAGGTTGGATTCCTTCATCCTTTTTCCGGTCCACCTCTTCCTTCTCTTCCATCCCATCTCTCTCTGAGTCTCGATCTATCTATCTATCGATCGATCCATCTATCTATCTACTATACCTATCTATCTGTTTATCTATCCATCTGTCAATCCATCTG